TTTGAAGTTCTTCACAGTCTGCTTTGGTCCTATCTTGAGCAGCTTAGTATCATCTGCAAACTTTGCCACCTCACTGTTTACCTCTTTCTCCAGATCATTTATGAACAAGTTGTGGTCTCTGGCACTTTCTGGTGGTCCACAGAATGAAAGCAAGGATCACACAGTGGGAGTGCTGCATGGACCACTTCATATAAGCATTTATAGGACCAATGCCAAAGGAATACCAATTGAAAATAATGGGGTTTGTTTTTACTTACTAGTAGGATTTAATAGCCAAGATTACGGTAATTGAAAGCAAAAAAAACAGCCTATTTACTTTGTGCACAAAAGCACTGTATGAAGTCAGTTTCCCTGTGCCCCTTGCAATCAGTTTCCTCCCTTGTTGCCAGAATTTTTTTTTAAACTTATGTAAATAGTGCCCTTTAAACAGTATGCCTCAAATCTATCAGACATGGGAAACTTTTTAAAGTTAGTATATTTCAAGAAGTTTGAGTTGTAGGTCCCTTTAAGATACTGCAGATACTACCAGATATTAGAAATGTGACTGGCCCAATCTGCATGCCATTGCATGAAGCAAACTTCCAGTTTACACAGTGCAAACACAACTTTCTGATTTTATTTTGAACATCTTTTTAAAAAATCAATATAGTTAAACATATTGGGGGCTTTCTGAAAACCCCCAAGATCTTCCATAGCTTTAAACTCACAGACCTGTGTGGTGTTAATCATTTAGCTTTACAGGAAATTATTATTAAAGAATAGTAATATTAGGGAAGTCTTACAGTTGAAGCATGATATGATCATCTACTGATTCCCTAGATAAGTACTCAAAAACATTTCCTGTGAAATTAGTTGCCAAGTACTATAGCTGAGTTATTTCTATTTGTACAGATACCCGTACTCCTTTCAGAGTACCGCATGACAAAAATGAACTGAAAGACTGTTCTTCAATATCATTAACCTGCTTTTATCCATAAAAGAAGACCATTCCTTAGAACAGATTAGTTTGCTCTAGTATTCATGTGACAAGCATAAGTTCCAATACTGCAATTGGATTCACATGGGCAAACCTATGCAGAGTTCCACTGACTTCAACACTCAACTGCAGGACTATGGCAAAGCTCTGAACACATGAGGGAAATGATCCATTAACGCTCAGGGTAAAATATTTTCATTTTAACAGGAAAGAGGCACCACTGCCAGACAGCTTGAACTCAGATGCTGGTTTATAAAAGTGGTTTTTGTTTTCACAAAAAACTAAACAGACTTCTTCACTGCAATGTTTAGAAGTCATGTTAAGTTTAAGATTTTAGTACAAGTGTAGGTATTTCAAAATTCCTCTACAGTATTTGGATTGCAAGAATTGCAGCATGGTGTAAACAAGAACTATATTTCTGGGATTTCACTCAGCTTGGACAATAAGAATGAGAAATAGAAAAGATTAAGACGTGATCTTTAATAATTTAAACTGTTAGTAAATCAAGTTTAAAATGTTGGTCCAGGATGGACTTAATGAAATGCATGCAAGTTGGAGAACTGCAAGTGCACAGTGCAACATTGTGTACACACACACACACCCCGAGTGTCACATGCAAGCAAGAATGCAAACCACTTCAAACTCTGAATTTTAAACTTGATATGCCCCTTTGAACTTTTGCAGATCATTCTAAGAAGTTCAGGTTGTTAAATGGACACAGCAAATCTGCATGTTTATTGTTACAATGCAATCTTTTAAGTGACTGGAAATCTTAACTTGGGACCTAAAGTATAAGACATCTGTCATCTTGCCTGATCTATAGATTATGCATTAGGCCTCAAGTCTTCTGCTAACTGTAGGTTCTTTGCTTTACTGCTGAATATAATAAAGGCAAGCTAGCCTGAGGGGCTACAGTCAAGAGCAGTCAAAGCTGGAACAGCTTTGGTGGTATCCTTTAAGTACGGAGTTTGTCCTATGTCCGTGACTCCTCAGAACTGAGCAATCAGATTTTGACATGGTATAGTGTGTTTTGACAAAGGATATGAACAGTCATAACTTTTTATTTCCTCTTATCCTAACCCTGGTGAAAGGGTTGCAATTTGTGATTGTCATATAAGACTGAATATTCAGTTATGTTTTACGCTAAGTGAGAAGAACATGCATTTAGTTTTGTTCCAATTCTAGTCTGTACTCAGAAGTTCACTGCCACCATTTTTATTGTACTTGGCAGTATGATCAAGCAAGCTTCATGATTGGAACAGCTCAGATGTTGCCATTAAGAACATTAGCAATGTGAGGGAGAAGACCTAGCAGCACTTACCCCTGCTATGGCCAACTTACATCAGTAGTACTAGTCTCCTATTCTAAAAGTGTTATTTTAACTTGCTCAAGTGTGAGGTAGCAAGAGAGGATCAATAGCATTTCACTAGTCTATTTAAGTATTCAGCAACAGTATCTTATTGTAGAAACAATGAAGAGGTAACATTTTCACTAACTTTACTGAAACATTTGTGCCAAAGTTTTCAGAAGTTGCCTTTGATTATGGGTTCCTAACTGGAGAGGTCTTGGGCCTGAGTCTTAGGAGTGCCAAGTCAGTGGAAGCTGTAGGTGCTCAATACCCCTGAACTTTAGGCCCAAGATGTCTTCTGAAATTCTGACTTATCTGTATTTGAAGGACTGGTGGCTTTCAGACATGGATATTGGCCACAGTGCAAATGTTTTACTTCTAGTTTGAAATAATTTCATCTAAGAGCTTTTAGGCCTGTATTCCCTTAAGTCAGTATGACTTTTTAGTGGAGTTAATCGTGTTTGAGTTTGTCTAGTATTTCCTTAGACCACCACCTCCCTATTTTCTTGAAGGCAGCACACTTTACCCTGAAGGACAGAATTACTGTTGAACGAATATAGATTTTTGATGAGGAAGAACATTATTAAAAGCTGTAAATTAAGGGAAGTATTCAGGTTATTTCCCCCTTTCAACAGGTTTGCAGAGTATCTGAATCTGTAAGTTCCAGTTTCTACTTCTGCCAAGATGTCTCCATATCCAGTGGACTAGCAAGTGTATCACCGCTAACCAATGGCAGCATATGGTATCTACCAATCAGCTTTTGGTTAACAATGCTGAATTCAACCACCTGGTTTTCAAACTAAGTGTTCCAATCATGCAACAGTGTAATTAACAAAATGTTGTAAGTCTGCCCAAAGCACTGAGACTTCAACATTTGACTGAAGAAATTATATTGTATTTTAACTCCCCAAGAGCCTATGACTTAGCAAAACATTGCCTGTCTTTCTAGCTCTAAAATCAGACAGTCACATTCTCAAATGTTTGGTTTGTTCTTGAGCCATACCATACGACCTTAGACTCAAATATATAGGAGTCTAAGTAGCAAACCCTTGAAGACAGTAGGTCCCATTATTAAGAGAGGACTTGCTACAAGAACATTGATGCTCCAGTGTACAAATCGGCTTCCATGACAAACAGTATATTAGTACAAGCATATTCTTGTAAGGGGGCAAGGAAAGTCTAGTTTCTCTTCATCGGATCTCTTCTCAGTTGGTCAGTAAAATTTCACAACCAGACCCCACTTTAAGTGCTGTAACCAGAACCAGTAAGCACATTACATATTACTAGGGCTGTTTAGATTTTATTCGAATGAGAAAATAAGTTGCTCCCATCATTTAGGATTTGAGTCATTAAGGTTTTACATGACTTAACATTTTTATCTATATTACATTTTCTGCATTTCCCATCATCATAGTATCCAAATGCTATCCTTTGCCTTGGCTTATTTACAGAGTTGTAGAGTATTACAAATGTATTCTCCCTGAGAGATTTGGCAACAATTATGCACATAACTTATGACCTACACAAAGGCAAGGTCCCCAGGTCACTTGCCAGCCAGAACCACGTTGCAGCATAGGGTAAGGTCACTAAAACGTTATCAGTTCAATTCAGTGTTTCCACCCAACTCCCTCTATGCACACACTGAATGTGTTGTCTCAGACTCACTACAGGAACCATCTGCGCGGGGCAAAGCTCAAAGAGCCTTTCCCTACGGAGGGCCAGGAGCTGAGAAGCAACAAATGAGGGACTTGGAAGGGATAAAACTGGCACTTCAGGATTTCTGTTCTACTTAAAAGTAGGTCACAGCATAAATGAACCGCCAGGACCGCGCTCCAACGCGAGCGGATTCCTCCCTGCAGCCGGCTGCCGCCACTACGGGCGGGGCGACCAGAGGGGGGACGGGGGCAGGCGCCCCCGAATACAGGGCCTGCCCCCATCGCACCGGGGCACCGGCGCCCTAGCTGCAGACCTCAGCTCCCAACACCCGCCCGCGGCAGCTTTCCTGCCCACCCGCCGAACACGGGACACAACAGGACCCACAAGTGTGCGGGCCAGACCCTGCCAGCCACCCCCCCAAAACGTGCCGGGCAGGCCCTGCGACATGCAGCCGCGCCCCCAAAACACTCATGAGAACCTGTCACCCCCCCCCGCCGCCGAGCCGAGCCCCCCCCCGCCGCCCCGGCCAGCGCGCCGTCCACCCCCCGCCGCCGTGCCCCGGCCAGCGCCCCCCCCCGTCACCCCGCGCCGAGCCCCCCCCCGCCGTGCCCCGGCCAGCGCGCCCCGTGCCCCGGCCAGAGCGGCCCCCCCGTCGCCCCGCGCCGAGCCCCCCCCCGCCGTGCCCCGGCCAGCGCGCCCCCCCCGCGCCGAGCCCCCCCCGTCACCCCCCCCGCCGCGCCCCCCCGCCGCCCCGCGCCCCGGCCAACCCCCCCCGGCCGCCGCCGCCGCCACCCCCGCGCCCCGGCCAGAGCGGCCCCCCCGTCGCCCCGCACCGAGTCGTCCCCCCCCCCAGTGGGCCCCCACTCTGCCCCGGCCAGAGCCCGCCCCGCCCGACGCGCGCCAGAGCCCGCCACCCCCGGCGCTGGCCGGAGCCCCCCGGCTGGGCTGGGCCGGGCCGGGCCCGGCGCTTGGGGCAGGGGCAGGGGCAGAGCCCGGAGCCCCGGCCCGGCCGCTCGTTACCTGGCGGCCCCGCGCGCTGGCCGCCCCGCGCCGCGTCCCCTTCCGCCATCTTGTCCGGGTTTAAAATTAACTCCGCGTGACGTCAAACGCCGCCGCGAGACCTTTATCGGCCGGCAGCGCGCGGCGCCGCCAATCCCGCTGCGGCGCGTGCCCGGCAACTGCGCCGCCGGCTCCGCCCCATCCGGGCGGGCGGCCCGGAGCCCGCGGGGTCCGAGCGCCGCCGGGTTCCCTGCCCGCCGGGCGCCTGGCTGCCGGCGCTGCCGGGTCCTAGCGCCCGCTTGGGCGGCCCTCCCCCGAGCTAGGGATGCCAACCCTCCAGGATTGGCCTGGAGTGTCCAGGACTTAAAGATTCATCTTTAATGAAAGATTATGACATGTGATGAAATTTCCAGAAATACATCCAACTAAAATTGGCGTCCCTACCCCCAGCTCCAGGATCCCGAGCGGCCAGGGCCCGGAGCCCTCACGGAGTCACCGAGCCCATCCCCCAACTCACCCCCACCCACCTCCCCTGGAGTCATCCCACCAGAACCCCTCAGTCACTCCACCCATCTCCGCTAACTCACCCCACCCATCCCCACACCCCTGGAGTCACCCACCCATCCCCCCCGACTCACCCCTGCCCACCCCCGAGGCCTCCCCTGCAGAATTACCCTTGCCCAACCCTAAAGTCATCCCCCTGAAGTCACCCCTGCTTCCCCCTCCCCAGAGTCACCCCTGTATAAACAGAGTGAAATGGGAGTGGGTGGGACCCCAGCAAACATGAGGTATCAGGGCCCCAAATCTTTCTTGTTGGGCATGCTGAATCAGCACCTGGTGTGGCTGCAGTCGCTCATCCCAGCTGACGTGTCCTACCCAAGTCGGGCTGCAGGCCGTGCTGGTTCCTGGCTACACTAATTCCCTATGGGGCCTTGGGCAAAGTCAACTGATCACTCTCTGTGCCTCAGTTCCCCATCTGTTGAATGGAGAGAATAATTCTGACCTACTGCACAGTGAAGATCCTGGGAGGGAAGGTGCTCTGGAGATACCAAAGAGCATCCTCAGGATGGTGTTAGAGAGGGGGAGATGGGTGGAATCAGAATAACGCCTCTCACTTTCTTATCTGTGACACATCATCCAGGAAGCAGCCCAGAACCTGGCTTTAATGCCGCTGGATTCACACACCACTGCTGCAGCTGGCAGGCATCGGTGGAGATGGGTCTTTGCTAGCTTAGGGAGCATGGAAAGGATGTTCAATGTCGCAGTCGTGGTTGTCACCAGTGGGGGAAAAGGTTGCGGCTCTTTAGTGTCATTTAGAGTCGCTGTTGAGACTGAAGCTGGCATTAGCTACACCAGCCCCCAAGGAATGGCTTGCATGACTGCTTCACAATCTTAAAAATATTGCCCCATAATTGTTACAGATCTGGATTTTAAAAACATGGGCACCATAGCAACTCTTGTATCGCCTTGATAAATCTTGCCCTTTCAGATTTCAGCAATCAATAGGGGTTCCTAATGGCATCAGGAGTGCTAAATTCTGCCTCCAGTGCAATGTGATTGGGTTGGATTTGCCCATGATCATAACGAGTTGTTTTCCACATCTTTTTCTTTTTTTTGCACGAGTTTCTGGCTGCTTTATGTCACCGGACTGTACTGGTGAGTCTGGCCAAAATGTCCTAATCTGTGTTCGCAAAAAGAAAAGGAGGACTTGTGGCACCTTAGAGACTAACCAATTTGTTTGAGCATAAGCTTTCGTGAGCTACTGTAGCTTAGAATCATAGAATCATAGAATATCAGGGTTGGAAGGGACCCCAGAAGGTCATCTAGTCCAACCCCCTGCTCGAAACAGGACCAATTCCCAGTTAAATCATCCCAGCCAGGGCTTTGTCAAGCCTGACCTTAAAAACCTCTAAGGAAGGAGATTCTACCACCTCCCTAGGTAACGCATTCCAATGTTTCACCACCCTCTTAGTGAAAAAGTTTTTCCTAATATCCAGTCTAAACTTCCCCCACTGCAACTTGAGACCATTACTCCTCGTTCTGTCATCTGCTACCATTGAGAACAGTCTGGAGCCATCCTCTTTGGAACCCCCTTTCAGGTAGTTGAAAGCAGCTATCAAATACCCCCTCATTCTTCTCTTCTGCAGGCTAAACAATCCCAGCTCCCTCAGCCTCTCCTCATAAGTCATGTGTTCCAGACCCCTAATCATTTTTGTTGCCCTTCGCTGGACTCTCTCCAATTTATCCACATCCTTCTTGAAGTGTGGGGCCCAAAACTGGACACAGTACTCCAGATGAGGCCTCACCAATGTCGAATAGAGGGGAACGATCACGTCCCTCGATCTGCTCGCTATGCCCCTACTTATACAGCCCAAAATGCCATTGGCCTTCTTGGCAACAAGGGCACACTGCTGACTCATATCCAGCTTCTCGTCCACTGTCACCCCTAGGTCCTTTTCCGCAGAACTGCTGCCGAGCCATTCGGTCCCTAGTCTGTAGCGGTGCATTGGGTTCTTCCGTCCTAAGTGCAGGACCCTGCACTTATCCTTATTGAACCTCATCAGATTTCTTTTGGCCCAATCCTCCAATTTGTCTAGGTCCTCCTATATCCTATCCCTCCCCTCCAGCGTATCTACCACTCCTCCCAGTTTAGTATCATCCGCAAATTTGCTGAGAGTGCAATCCACACCATCCTCCAGATCATTTATGAAGATATTGAACAAAACCGGCCCCAGGACCGACCCTTGGGGCACTCCACTTGATACCGGCTGCCAACTAGACATGGAGCCATTGATCACTACCCGTTGAGCCCGACAATCTAGCCAGCTTTCTACCCACCTTATAGTGCATTCATCCAGCCCATACTTCCTTAACTTGCTGACAAGAATACTGTGGGAGACCGTGTCAAAAGCTTTGCTAAAGTCAAGAAACAATACATCCACTGCTTTCCCTTCATCCACAGAACTAGTAATCTCATCATAAAAGGCGATTAGATTAGTCAGGCATGACCTTCCCTTGGTGAATCCATGCTGGCTGTTCCTGATCACCTTCCTCTCATGCAAGTGCTTCAGGATTGATTCTTTGAGGACCTGCTCCATGATTTTTCCAGGGACTGAGGTGAGGCTGACTGGCCTGTAGTTCCCAGGATCCTCCTTCTTCCCTTTTTTAAAGATTGGCACTACATTAGCCTTTTTCCAGTCATCCGGGACTTCCCCCGTTCGCCACGAGTTTTCAAAGATAATGGCCAATGGCTCTGCAATCACAGCCGCCAATTCCTTCAGCACTCTCGGGTGCAACTCGTCCGGCCCCATGGACTTGTGCACATCCAGCTTTTCTAAATAGTCCCTAACCACCTCTATCTCCACAGAGGGCTGGCCATCTCTTCCCCATTTTGTGATGCCCAGCGCAGCAGTCTGGGAGCTGACCTTGTTAGTGAAGACAGAGGCAAAAAAAGCATTGAGTACATTAGCTTTTTCCACATCCTCTGTCACTAGGTTGCCTCCCTCATTCAGTAAGGGGCCCACACTTTCCTTGGCTTTCTTCTTGTTGCCAACATACCTGAAGAAACTCTTCTTGTTACTCTTGACATCTCTCGCTAGCTGCAGCTCCAGGTGAGATTTGGCCCTCCTGATTTCATTCCTACATGCCCGAGCAATATTTTTATACTCTTCCCTGGTCATATGTCCAGCCTTACACTTCTTGTAAGCTTCTTTTTTATGTTTAAGATCCGCTAGGATTTCACTATTAAGCCAAGCTGGTCGCCTGCCATATTTACTATTCTTTCGACTCATCGGGATGGTTTGTCCCTGTAACCTCAACAGGGATTCCTTGAAATACAGCCAGCTCTCCTGGACTCCTTTCCCCTTCAAGTTAGTCCCCCAGGGGATCCTGGCCATCCGTTCCCTGAGGGAGTCGAAGTCTGCTTTCCTGAAGTCCAGGGTCCGTATCCTGCTGCTTACCTTTCTTCCCTGCGTCAGGATCCTGAATTCAACCAACTCATGGTCACTGCCTCCCAGATTCCCATCCACTTTTGCTTCCCCCACTAATTCTACCCGGTTTGTGAGCAGCAGGTCAAGAAAAGCGCCCCCCCTAGTTGGCTCCTCTAGCACTTGCGCCAGGAAATTGTCCCCTATGCTTTCCAAAAACTTCCTGGATTGTCTATGCACCGCTGTATTGCTCTCCCAGCAGATATCAGGAAAATTAAAGTCACCCATGAGAATCAGGGCATGCGATCTAGTAGCTTCCGTGAGTTGCCGGAAGAAAGCCTCATCTACCTCATCCCCCTGGTCCGGTGGTCTATAGCAGACTCCCACCACTACATCACTCTTGTTGCACACACTTCTAAACTTAATCCAGAGACACTCAGGTTTTTCTGCAGTTTCGTACCGGAGCTCTGAGCAGTCATACTGCTCCCTTACATACAGTGCTACTCCCCCACCTTTTCTGCCCTGCCTGTCCTTCCTGAACAGTTTATAACCATCCATGACAGTACTCCAGTCATGTGAGTTATCCCACCAAGTCTCTGTTATTCCAATCCCGTCATAGTTCCTTGACATCACCAGGACCTCCAGTTCTCCCTGCTTGTTTCCAAGGCTTTGTGCATTCGTATATAAGCACTTGAGATAACCTGTTGATCGCCCCTCATTCCCAGTATGAGGCAGGAGCCCTCCCCTCACAGACATTCCTGCCTGTGCTTCCTCCCGGTATCCCGCTTTCCCACTTACCTCAGGGCTTTGGTCTCCTTCCCCTGGTGAACCTAGTTTAAAGCCCTCCTCACTAGGTTAGCCAGCCTGCTCGCAAAGATGCTCTTCCCTCTCTTCGTAAGATGGAGCCCGTCTCTGCCCAGCACTCCTCCTTCATGGAACACCATCCCATGGTCAAAGAATCCAAAGCCTTCTCTCCGACACCACCTGCGTAGCCATTCGTTGACTTCCACGATTCGACGGTCCCTACCCAGGCCTTTTCCTTCCACGGGGAGGATGGACGAGAACACCACTTGCGCCTCCAACTCCTTTATCCTTCTTCCCAGAGCCACGTAGTCCGCAGTGATCCGCTCAAGGTCATTCTTGGCAGTATCATTGGTGCCCACGTGGAGAAGCAGGAAGGGGTAGCGATCCGAGGGCTTGATGAGTCTCGGCAGTCTCTCCATCACATCGCGAATCCT